TTTTATTCAAAAAAACTTTCGGGGCATTTATTATTTTTTAAGCACATTTTTTCGAGAGCTGTGTAATTAAATTGGAAATTTCAAAGAAATTGGAAATGGGGAATTGTAAACACACACTATCCACATATCCGATGAAAATGTTAAATAATGTTTGTTTAATTTATGATTGCCCAAGCTATATATCAAAATGTCTTTTATGTAAGATTATTGTTTTAATAATTATCGAACTTTAAAACTTCACAGCTATGCAAATACTGTGTGTTCCTAAGCATTTGAAATTCCTAGATTTTATAAATATAATTAGTACAAGTCAATTAAATAATTTTCATAGTCCAGTATAGCGTTGCATAATTTACCACATACAATAACAAAAAAAAACGTCAGTGATTGAGAAATAATTATCGCGGTATGTAATTAATAACTGTGGAAAATTATTTATATACTGTGACTCTTATTGAGCTCTTATTTGTCTGAAAACGTACACTATTCAGCTGCATAGTTTGAGGAAGGACCCTTTTTCAATTTTGAGATGAAAATTTCATTATCACCACATATTTTGCATTTATTTAATATTCGAATGTTGTTTCATTATTCTATCGTCGGCCCATTCGACTGACAGTTGAATGGTCGACTATTCGTTGCCATCCCTAATATTTATTGTATTTTTATCATAAGGACTTAAAATTTGATCAAAATATAATGTATTTTAGCCATTTGAAGAAATGTTTACATTTTGTTCTTACTGCACTAAAGCCCCTAAGGTGGCCGGACATCCCCCTTAAATTATGCAATATGATTATGCTATCAATGGATTTAGTTTCACCTATGTGAACTAAAGCAGTTTCTTCTCTTTTTGATTTACTATGAGATTCTTGCCTTATAAATAAAAACGATTTAGACCTATATCTTAGAAATGATAGACTGTGGACAGCCAGGTTTATTTCTCAGAGATGTTAATTGCAACCTGCAATACAGAATTCAGGCTATATTTTAGAATTAAATGATAAAACCACACTCTTTGTAACAGTAAACAAGAAAAGCTTACTTTCTGTTTTCTGTCTCCATCAATTCTTTAAGAGGTAGTCTTTTTCACAGGGGCTTGCTCCAAAAGTGTAATAATAATTTGATAAAAATCATATCAGAATACTAAAACAACATGTATATGATTTATTATACAATTACACTCTTTTGGTGTTGAATATGGTTTGTTATTCACCAGAAAAATATTCATATTGACCGAGGCGAAGCCGAGGTCAATATGGATATGTTTCTGGTGAATAACAAACCATATTCAATACCAAAAGAGTCCATAATTGTTTTATTATATAGTCCAGGATTTGAATAAATAAGACATTGAAGACTGAATGACGACAGCACTTTCATTAACTTACATCGTTGAAAAAAATGCCAAGATTACAATTTGTCACCTCCCTGTTATCCTTTCCGAGTTTCGCCTTGTAAGACATCCAAATGTTTAAAAATAATCCTGAAATAGGTTTGTATAATATTTTTCCTGCTCAGATACGTAGCTCGCTGCGGCCGTTGCAACCATTGTTTACAACGTTGTTTGAGGTATTGATTATGACGTCACAATGCAGCTGCACGCGCAATTAGTCAATTACCCCCCGGTGAATACGGCCTCAAATCCAGTGAATATGTAGTGTTATGAACTGTTAGCACTTGTATAGATTATATTGGGAATATGAATAGACTATATAATAAAAATAATTATGACACATCGGGAGAAGGCCCCTGCATTCATGTTTTTTTTATTATTATTTTAACAGAGAAGAAGTCAGGCCCCTAGCCAGAGGCTTACGGTACCCGTTTCATTCCCCCGACATGTACAAGAGAAAATTAAACCTGCGGTGGGTATTATTTATTACCCGGTATAATTAAACACTCCTTTCTTTTATGTTTCAGAATACATGATTTTCTGTGTTAGTTTTAAAGATGGTGTTGACTGATTTTGGAAAATTCAAGATACACATCTATCTCTGTATGTGTCAAATTATGTTGATTTTCTTTAAATTATAGGTGAAGAGACCTCGCTATGAAGATGACAATGACAGAGATGAAAGGCAACCCTTGTCAACAATCACCAACATACCCTCAGTCAGTTATCCAGATGCAAGGGTTCATGTAAGTCACACAGGTGTCTAAAGTCAAGAACAGATTTAGCAACCCTTGTATTCAATTTTCATTGATTTAAGAGTAAATTTATCTGAAATAGAGGAATAAATGTGAATTTGTATCAGAATTATCATTAAACATTTATTTACTATATTTGTTTCTAATATTTCTTCTTACTTTCCAATAAAATTGTTCTGTGATTTTCTTAAAAATTAATAGGAAGAATTTATCAGGAAGATATTATCCAAGCCATTTAAGGTCCCTATACCTAATTACAAAGGTCAGTATAAATGTGTGTGTTTCCTTAGAGTAAGTTTTAAAACCTTCAGCATCATGATACCATTGAATGCATTTATACAAAATATATTTCTTAGACAGACAAACTTTGTCACTTCTTCATAGAATTTTTCAGTAAATAATACCGTAAAAGTATAATTTTTAGCGAGGATTTAATTTTGGCATTATTAGCGAGGGTGCTGTGATTGCTAAAATTGAATATCGCTAAAAATTAATTGCGTTTTATTTGTAATAGCTTCTTAAATGTGCATTTTAAAATCGCTAAAATAACATCTCGCTAAAAATAAATTACCAGATTTTAAGGACAAATCGCTAAAGTTGCGTCTCTCTAAAAATTCCACTTACACAGTAATACAAGGAGACCATCCTAAATATTGGAGAGTACAAATTCAGTATATTTTGTTTTAAGGACCACTTGCTGGTAGAGCACTTGGAATAAGACGACAAGGTACAAGACAATCTCTCCATGATCCCAATGAAGAAGGGGCATTAATTCTCTACTCTCCTCCTGAGTTATCTGCCCATGAACAACTAAAGGCTGATTTGTAAGTAAACTATTCGGTAATGATTGAATGTCTGTATAATTTGCTAAAATTATCAAAAGTCAATTTTGTAGATTATTTATTAAGACATGAATCAGCATTTTAGCATATTCTTACTATGAATGTATATTGTGAACTCAATATAATAATATGGCATGTTTTGAGACCTGTGTTGCTGGACCCATTCCCAATCCAAAAATAATCATTTTTTTTCTAATTTCAAACTTCTTTTCAATTAAAGTCCTTGAATAATTTAAGAGACATAAATACATGTATTTGCATGATGAACAAGTGAGAAAAAAAGTTCATGTCCATCTCTGTAAAGGAAATCTGTATCTAGAATCTTTATGTTTCTGTGTGTATTTACAGGGACAAGCAGCCAGTTCATGTAGTGGTGGATCCAGTGTTATCCAAAGTCTTGAGGCCTCATCAAAGGGAGGTCAGTGGCATCATACTACATTTGTAGGGTTTTCTTTTTATTGAAAATGACCATACTCTGAAGCTCAAGTTACTAATCACTGACAGAATACTGTTATTTATCAATTTCTTTTCTTTCTCCAGCATTTGTTTGATTTAATTTATAATGATAAATTAATTTTAAAAAATCAGAAATCCTCTTATGTCTTAAGCAAGTAACAATTATTTTTTCCTATTGTGGAATTTTTTATGAAAGCCTGATTGGATATTATATATACATCTCTTTTCTTTCCTGGTAAATTAAGGTTTCAGTGATATGCCTCTCCATATGTACAGTTTGGAAAATATTTCAAAGTTTTTGTTTTACTACATTGACAGGGTGTAAAGTTCATGTATGACTGTGTCACGGGCCAGAGAATTCCTGACAACTTTGGTTGCATTATGGCGGATGAAATGGTATACAAGTCCGATTTGTTGTTCCATAAAAAATTGGTTAATAGTGGCTGCCATTGTTATTGTCAAAAGTTCTAAAGATATTTCATTACTCTCATTTTCACAGATAGGTATTTTGTGTTGTAAATGTATTATTTGTTCAGCAGGATTGTGGTCAATTACTTTCAAAAGTAATCAGTAAAATTATAATTTCGTTGGATTTTTTAAAGTAATCAATTACATTGGATAAGTTATTTGTTCAATATTCTTACATTTAGTTTCATGTATTTGTTAAATGTTACTGATTATGCCTACACTTACATGTATGTGTGTCAGTTAATTCTTATTTGATTTTTTTTTTTACAGGGATTGGGCAAAACTCTGCAATGTATAACTTTAATGTGGACCCTTTTGGTTTGTATTCATTTTTAGCTCTACTGGTCAGAGACCAGAAGAGCTTATGCGATAGTAATGCGTCCGGCGTCCGTCCGTCTGTCCGTCTGTCTGTCCGTCTGTCTGTAAACAATTTTTCAAAATGCTACTCCTCCTACAGTTTTGGTCTAATTTCAATATAACTTGGCACACAAGTAGACTACACTAAGATACATAATTCTGTGTATCGGTTTTTGATTTTGATGAACGGTGTTGCCGTGGTTACTAAAAATAGAAATTTCTGTGAAATTCTTTCAAAATGCTACTCCTCCTACAGTTTTGGTTTGATTTCAGTATAACTTGGCACACAAGTAGACTACACTGAGATACATAATTCTGTATATCGGTTTTTGATTTTGATGAACGGTGTTGCCGTGGTTACTAAAAATAGAAATTTCTGTGAAATTTTTTCAAAATGCTACTCCTCCTACAGTTTTGGTTTGATTTCATTATAACTTGGCACACAAGTAGAATACACTAAGATACATAATTCTATTTATCGGTTTTTGATTTCTATGAACGGTGTTGCCATGGTTACTAAAAATAGAAATATCTGTAAAATTGTTTCAAAATGCTACTCCTCCTACAGTTTTGGTCTGATTTCAAGGGCAGGGGATGCTCACTCCTCCATGGCACCTGATCCCACCTCTGATGTTTCGGAGGTCCGTGTTTGCTCTGCTCTTATTTTGTATGTTTGTTTGATGGACGTTGAGATTGAATACTGTTCGTTATTTCCATATCCTTCTTCAATATAACTTGGCACATAAGTAGAATACACTAAGATACATAATTCTGTGTATCGAATTTTAATTTTGATGAACGGTGTTGCCATGGTTACTAAAAATAGAAATGTCTGTAAAATTGTTTCAAAATGCTACTCCTCCTACAGTTTTGGTCTGATTTCAATATAACTTGGCACACAAGTAGACTACACTAAGAACATAAAGAGACTTTATCAACGATCATTATTCTATTTAGTTTCAAATCCCAGCTGCTTAAGTACTTTTCTCTTCCTTTGCTATAAGTTCAAACCAGTAGAGCTTCAGTCTCGACCGAGACTTCTGGTTCTAAAATATTTTGATAAGTATCAAAATATGTATACCTTATGTTTGATCCAAAGGCACCTGACATTACTTATTTTTAGCTCTACTGGTCAGAGACCAGAAGAGCTTATGCAATAGTAATGCGTCCGGCGTGCGTCCGTCCGTCTGTCTGTCTGTCTGTCTGTAATCAATTTTTCAAAATGCTACTCCTCCTACAGTTTTGGTATAATTTCAATATAACTTGGCACACAAGTAGACTACACTAAGATACATAATTCTATGTATCGGTTTTGGATTTTGATGAACGGTGTTGCCGTGGTTACTAAAAATAGAATTTTCTATGAAATTCTTTCAAAATGCTACTCCTCCTACAGATTTGGTCCGATTTCAATATAACTTGGCACACAAGTAGACTACATGAAGATACATAATTCTGTGTATCGGTTTTGGATTTTGATGAACGGTGTTGCCGTGGTTACTAAAAATAGAAATTTCTGTGAAATTCTTTCAAAATGCTACTCCTCCTACAGTTTTGGTCTGATTTCAATATAACTTGGCACATGAGTAGACTACACTAAGATACATAATTCTGGATATCGGTTTTGGATTTTGATGAACGTTATTGCCTTGGTTACTAAATATAGAAATTTCTGTTAAATACTCTCAAAATGCTACTCCTCCTACAGTTTTGGTCTGATTTCAATATAACTTGGCACATGAGTAGACTACACTAAGATACAAAATTTTGAATATCGGTTTTTGATTTCGATGAACATTATTGCCTTGGTTACTAAATATAGAAATTTCTGTTAAATACTCTCAAAATGCTACGTCTCCAAATACATGCAGTTTTAGTCTGATTATAATACAATGTGACATGCAAGTAGACTTCACCAAGAACATAAAGAGACTTTAAATCAAGGATCATTATTCTATTTATTTAAGTACTTTTCTCTTCCTTTGCTATAAGTACAAACCAGTAGAGCTTCAGTCTAATGAAACAAATATACACATACCTAATATTAGGTATGTTTATATTTTTTTTATTAAAAGAAAAGTAAGTACATGTAACTTTCAGGTGCCTGTGGTTTGATCAAAGTTTCATGCTATTCTGTTTCATATCATATACTGAAGTAGAGAAATGCTTCTTATTGAATTATAATGCATGTACATGTACTTCCATAATTATTTATAATATGTTAGGACAAGTTTAATTTGAAATGAATACATGTACCGGTACTTATAAGTGAGGAGGATACAGAATATTTTTTGGTCATTTCCAGAGGCAGAGTCCTGACTGTTGTCCACTCATTGATAAAGTGGTAGTGGTCACTCCCAGTAGTCTGGTCAAGGTATGCAATGTAACGTTTCATATACAGAAACTCAACTTAAGCACAAGTACAGTAAATCATGCTTATAGTAAACATGCTTTTAATGAATTGATGCTTACAACAGAGTGGATTTCATTCTCCGTGTGTTTTAAACATACTTTGATGCTAAAGGATATAACAAGTAAGGTTTATAACCTATGTATGTATGGCTTATTTAAATTTAAAGTTTTTGAGATTGAGTGAACAAATGATTCTGTACAAATTTTATTTTAAAAGTCTGTAATGCTTTAAAATTACCTGAAATAAGATTTTGATGCAGTTTGAGTTCAATACATGCTTTTAGAAGTATCCAATGAAATGCTTTCAATGCTTTATCCATCTCTTTGATAATAGACTAAACTGAATCTTGATTTTTATGGCGTCGGGCTTGCCCGATCGTCATCTAGCGATCAGTCAAGTTTACGCGACCGCACGTGTCAGTGGATGCATCCGCAATAGAAAATAGCAACAGCTGTAAACCAATTTCTTTTAAAACGTTCACAATGAATAATAGCTTGAATATAAAATTAAATCAATTGTATCTTCAATTAATACTACTACAAAACAACGATATTATGTTTAATTTTTACGCAAGAAAAACGTTATGGTTGTTGCGGATGAATTTCTACTGAGAGGGTGCGTCGAATGACATGAATCACATTCTGGGACCGATTACTGTAATACAAACAATCTTAGATACGGTAAAATAATTACAAAATAAACACGAATACAACAAGACTATAAAGATTGAATTTCTTAATCTTAGCTTTACTTTTACGATCTTCAATCCAATTTTAGCTGAACAACCTACGATATTGACCAGTAATGCCAGTATTACTGTATTTATCCATTTCCTCCATTTGTTTACCGCGCCTTATCGTAAGTCGATCGTACTTGTAACATTAGAGTCATGGTTGTAGTTAAGATGCAATCACTATACAAAGAACAACACTCTGACAATGGCAATTAATTAAAATAATTTATGAAACCCTTCATATGTCTTCGATTGACTGAAAAGAAATTAGATTGATATAGATGATGGACATTTCTGACGATGTCTGGTCAATTCGAACCCTGACTCATTCGGACCAGGACACAAGGCTATCAGGCCCTATACTGTATTTGTGTTAAGACTATTTTTTTTAAATTTTATTATTATGTTACTGGAGTCACTCACTTGACCTATTTGCAGATCTTTTGAAATTGTTTTTCTTGTTCGACGCCATTGAAGCCTTTCAGGCTTTTGATTTTTTTCCAGAACTGGTACAATGAAGTTCAGAAATGGTTAGGGGGAAAAATCAACTGTTTGGCCATTGATTCTGGAGTCAAAAGTGAAATAGACAGGCAACTGAGTAGGTGCAAATAAAACCCTGAATAGATGTTAATCAAATGAAACTGAAACTTTGTTTTGCTGTGAATGCATATTTGTATAGAATTTGTTGAAGCAGATCAGTTTTGTAATATATGACTTGAATAATATTTTGATTGTAATTTAAATTTTTTTTCCCTAGATCAATTTATGCAGCTTCAGGGAAAGAGAAATCCACATCCAATTTTATTTATTTCCTATGAAACCTTTCGTCTTCACAGTGCTGTGATGCATAAAGGAAACGTTGGTCTAGTCATTTGTGATGAGGTAAGCTCTCAGCAAGTTATAAACTACATGTACCTGTACATGAAAAAATACTCCTTGTTTTTTCATGTAGATGTAAAAGTGAAATTACACTATACATATATTGACACATGGTATGAAATCTGAGGTACAATTACATGTTTCATAAATAATAAAGATTCAAAAGCATTTACTTGCTAACTTATTTATAACAAAGAAACAGGTGAAAATTTAAATTGAAAGATATACATGTAAGTAAAACATGTTTAGATTATTTTATACATTGATTGTAATTTTTACAATTATCTACTTTTTCTTTAATGTTAAGTGCAACTTTTCGTGGTTTGCAATAGGCATACCTGTAAATGTGAGATTCTAAAGGAATTTCCTAAAATTATGAAGAACCAATATTGAATAGAAGACATCTTAAAGTAGATTCATGTGTTCTTCTGTTACCAGTACTTGTACCAAACCGTCCTTCAATTTTTCATTCGTAGGGACACCGGCTGAAGAACTCTGAGAACCAGACTTACCAGGCCCTGAATGGACTGAAGGCCAGGAGGCGTGTCCTGTTGTCAGGGACTCCTATACAGAATGACTTATTGGAGTACTTCAGTCTCGTCCACTTTGTCAATGGAGGAATTCTGGGTAATTTTTGTCCTAATGTTTTCTATATTTTTTTTATCAGAAAATTTCATTGATCTTTTTTTTCTTTGTTAGAAAGAATTATATGAGTCAAGCTAAGAAGTAATGCTGTAAAAAAGAGTAGTTAGTATTAAGCAGGAGAATCATAAATTATCATCCCTTATTATTGAACATCACCAGAAAAGGACCATCTTTAATTTAAATTTTTTTATTATTATTACATAATTTTTTTAGAAAAGCATGTAAATAACTGATTTTTTTAACGAGGCTAGGGGGTGGCAGCCATTTTTAGACTATTTCAATCTCCTTTAAAAGGAGAGCTCTATATAAAGATATACAAAATGATAAAATTTTAAAACTAAAATATATGATTTTTTTCTTTGCCAAATGATAGTTGACAGCTAAATATACCGTATCTAAAAAAATAAGTTAAATCTGGTGGTTAATTTAGGATTAAATTTTTGACCCGCCAGCCTCCTTAAAAGATGTGCTTACTGTAGAATCATTATTATTCATGGACCATTGTTCATGGATTTTGTGGGTCACCCTTACCCACGAATTTACATCCCCTCGAATATACATTTTGTTAACATATTGATTCATTGAACCATCGTATATATTTCCGAGTAACCCATGAAATCACATCCCCACGAACAGGTAAAATTTTGCTTACCCACGAACATTGAACCCCCACGAATTAAAATGATTCCACAGTATTAGTTTTTAAGTTGTAACATATTGCATATTACATAAATAAATTTTTTGTCCATATGTAGTAAACTATTCCTAACGTGAATACATTATCTTATGATTCTGTTTTCAAAGGTACTGCCCAGGAGTTTAAGAGGCGTTTTGAGACTCCCATACTTAGAGGTAGAGATGCTGATGCCAGTGATGCTGACCATAAAAAGGGCCAGGAAAAGTTACAAGAAGTAAGCTTTGTTGGAAAATGTTATACACTTCATTACATTTCTTTATCCTTTGTGTTGATGAATTACAGTAAAACTCGGTTATAGCGAAGTCCTAGGGACCTGTGAATCGAATTCGCTTTATCCGTAATTCGTTATAACCATATAACGAATTCGTAAAACATATAAAGCGAATTCGCAATATGCATGTTTTCCTTCAAGTATTACTACCAAATATGTTAGGGAAACAAATATTACAAAACATACCTTCGATAACTAAGGTTTTATTTTGAATTGATAACTAAGGTTTTATTTTGAATTGAATTATATATACAATTCCATGAATAAAAATAAGTCAGTTCAATTTGTCAAATTTTGAGGTCTTTGAAAGTTCGTTATAAAAGATGTAAATCTCATTATATTTAACTTCAACGGGACCCAAAATCAGTTTGCTATATCCGTAAATTTGTTATATCAGAGTTCGGTATAACCGTAAAATTTTACAAGGATTTATTAAGAATTTTGCCGGGGACCCAGAAAAACTTCGCTATATACGTGAATTCGCTTTATCCGTGTTCGTACTAAATGAGTTTTACTGTAATAATATGTGATGACTTTCAGATTTTATCAACAACAACAAAAAATTAAAAACAAAAATTCTTTATGTACTGTAAACATATTTTATTTCCATTGGGTAATTTTTTCTTTGGAATTATAATTTTGGTTCAATGAGTGGTAGGAAATCAGATAGGCAAATTTATTGGAATGACACTGTATTTCTTTACTGCACTCTAATTACTCCCTGACAAGGCTTTCCAGAAAATCTTATCTCATACATACATGTAACGTAAATTAATCCAAAGCAGAAAAAGTATGTTTCCAGCAATTCATGTATAAATCAAAAGATTAAGAATATCCAAGGGAATATTGAAAGTCAGTTCTTCCATTGGGATGAACATCAGTGAAGAGTATTCAGATAAAATAGGAATCTGCAGATGTTGTAATATTTTGTAGTTGGCAGACATTGTGAACAAGTGCATCATTAGAAGAACTCAAGCCCTCCTGACCAGATATTTACCAGTTAAAGGTTTGTCTGATAATTTCAAAACATGATTCTCAGTGAAGCAATTTAAACCCTCCTGAAGAAAATACTGTATACAGGGTTATTTTCGCCTTGTGTTATTTTTGCCCTTTTGCACTTGCAAACAATTTTGTCCCGTTTTAAATTCGCCCTGTCATAGTTCTGTTTAAGAAATTCTACTGTGTAATTTTAATTCGCCCCATTTTAAATTCGCCCAATCAAGAAGAGGGCGAAAGGGGCGAAAATAAAACGGGGGCGAAAATTTTCCTGTATACAGTAAGTTATTAATAAAATTTTATCCCCACAAATCTTCACATTGTAGCAATCCATGTACTTACTTACTTAGGCCTCTTCGTGCCAGGTGGCACATAAGGCAGCCACACAGTCCCTCCACCCAGTCCTATCCTTTGCTAATCCACATTCTATGTAGCAATCCACATACAATCACAATATTTACCCCCTCTGTCAAATAAATAAAAATGTCTTATAGTTTCAAAAAGTATCTAGAGTTATTAACTACAAAATAATTCCTCTGTCGCAGAGTTAATTGCCTTCTTTTTCATTTCCAGTTGAACAGATAGTATGCTGTCGTTTGACACAGATGCAGTCTGAGTTATATAAACTCTTGGTTAGATCTAAATGTTACGAGGTGGAACAAGAGGAGAAATCTTCCTCCAGTACTCTGGCGTTCATTACACAGCTGAAAAAACTCTGTAATCGTAAGTCAACCAGAGCTAAATGAAAGTATATATGTTTTAATTATTACTTTGAATTTTAAAATGAAGACATGAATAAAAGTTAAATCTGCAGTGCATGTTTATGCGGAAGAGTAAAATTGCTAAAGCTATTGTGATATTTGAGGTGCTATTTCTGATATAATAGTAAGAATCAATGAAACATATGGAGATAACGAACAGTATTCCAAATCAAAAGTCCATAAAACAATACAAAATAGGAGCAGAGCAAACACAGACCTCCAAAACATCAGAGGTGGGAACAGGTGCCATGGAGGAGTGAGCATCCCCTGCCAATCAGTCACACCCGCCTTGTGCCCCTTGTCATGATCGGGAAACAACAGAAAAATCTGTCATCTGTTGAAACTGGTTCACATGCATATATGATTTGTTTCATAAATATAGATATATGCAATAAAATTGGTAGTACATGTATGTTTAATGTTTTGTTCATATCACAGAGAAACAATTTTAACTAAAAATAATTGTAAGTCTGTATATTTACTAAAAATAAAAATACAATTTTGAAAAAAAAAAAAAAAAAAAGCAACACCTTTTGTATCGGTATATGGTTTTAAAAAATGGTTGAGAAATACCATAAAGCGTTTTTTTTTTACATGTACATGTATACAAAACATACTGAATTTTAAAATACTTCAAGTATTTTTCATTACATATAGTGAAATTCACTGTTTACATGTATTTAATTTCTTCGTGATATATTTCAGTACGTAAAATAGTTTCTTGAATAAATTTATTGTTTATGGCATCATTGTTCGTGAAACGTTCACAATTTATACCGTATAATCATTTTTCAGCAAACTTTGCAGATCGAGATCATCAAAATAATATCGTATTCGGCGTACTTTCACAACTACCGCTTTCGTGGCAAAGCCTGACTAAATGATTTTTTACAAAACAACAGAACAAAAATTGTAACAGTTCATACTAAAATTATTTGTTCATTTAATTCTAATTTAATTATTTAATTGTGTGTACCTTGTCTGGCTTTGTATGCTTTACAACAAACATACCGCACGCACCTGTGGCGGTATATCGAGATAATTGACACTTAAAAATGGACGTTTGTTTTGAAAACAGAACTGCGAATTTGGCGTTATAAAGAGAATTTTATATAGCAGGAAAAACGTTCATTGTAGAAAATATATTGATTTACCATGTTTTAAAAAATAAAAAAAGTACTGAATAACTTTCATATAGTGAAATTCATACATGTATTTAATTGGGTAACCAACTGACATCAAATGTGAGAATACTGGTTATAGATCATCTGTAGTGTCCTGTGTTTACATGTGGTGGTAATTTTTTTTTTAAAAAAAATTTTTGTAAAATTTAAATGGGTAACCAACTGACATCATTGTGAGATACTTTAGATCATCTGTAGTGTCCTGTGTTTACATGTGGTGGAATTTTTTTTTTAATTTTTGAAGTCAATTGAATTTGTTGTCTACAAATTAAAATTTTCTGGCTGTGGGGATGTATTTTTTATATGGGTACAGAAAGTAAATATTTATGAGATGTAAATATGTGGGTGGAGATCAGCCAAAAATTCCATGAAGTTCAACAAAACTATGATGATTCCACAATATTGGATCACACCTGACAATTTTTGGCCGTGAGTTTAAATCTTCATTTATATACTTGCTGTTGCATTTTCTTTGATAAGTATATTAGACATGGGGAATTATCTGGTTGAATTTTTCTTCCCAATAGCTTGTAAAAATTATGATGGCAACATCATTTTCAGAGATTAAAACTAAAAATTTCAAGTAATTTGTTAGATTATGATAACATTTTTGTGTTATATAATATAGAGAAGCTACTAGGTAAGAATCCAAATTTACATGCTCTACATTTTCTATGGGCATTACTCTTCACATATTTACTTGGTTTTAGGTAAAGTGCTAGTACTTGACCGCTTGCTGGCCCTGATAAAAGCCCAGACAAGCGACAAAGTGGTTCTGGTATCTAACTATACACAGACTCTGGACCTGTTTGAAACCCTTTGTCATCAAAGAAGGTAAGCCGACAGACAGAATTGTCTGACTACCATATTGATTTGTAGATTGAAAAATGAAGAATATTTTCAAATTGACTGTGTTTACAAGTTATCATTTGCTGCAAAATTAATCTTATTGTGAATATGATTAGTAGATCAGAGAAGTATCTGCAGGCACATGACTATTGTATGAAATTAAAACCACCACACTTTTAGAAAAACTTGTTTGTTTTTTCTTCCAAAAAGTTTTAGCTTTGTGGAATTAAAATGAATTATATTCATGCATTTATATTCTAAGCCAACGATACTGAGTTTTATTACAATACCCAGTGTGCATAGTTTTGATGATATGATTAATGATATTTTGCAAGTTATTTATTTAAGGAAATTAAGATTTAGATATGTTATGCTGTTTGTAAATTTGAATAATTAGACTGTTGTCTGTTACAGGTATCTATATGTACGTCTTGATGGATCAATGACCATTAAGAAAAGAGCAAAGGTTGTAGAGCAGTTCAACAATCCGTCCGTAAGTAATGTGTTTTGTTACAGGAATCAACCCTTATTATACACAATGCAACAAGATGCGGAAGGTATAATATTTTTTACCCGTCCGTCAGTCATGTTTTTTTTGTCAGCACATCTCCTCATAAACTGCTGCACAGAATTTGGTCAAACTTTGCAGATATTTAGGACACAATGTGTAGATGTGCATATTACCAGGAAATTGGGATTCCTTTATTTTTCCTGGCAATTTCAGCACTTTGAATTTTTGGGGGAGCTTGGGGTATGTGAGCTTGCTCACTTTTTCTTTCATTACCCAGGAAAGTACACTTCTGTTTGAGTTTCAGAATTGGGAAGCAGGACTTGAAATTATAGCATTACCTATACATGTATGGCACAATATTATTTAACACTATTACTGTAAACTAATGATTATTTGCGTCATCTTTTATTAGTGATTCTGCAGTTTAAAATCAATCTGCTATTATAAATTTTGGTGAACTAGAAAAATTTCTGTACAATTACTGGTATCTTGTAATCAATATAAACAAATATAGGCTATACTGTGAGCTATAGAAAGTCGCTGAACTAACAGATATTTATCGCAAACAAATAAAACCTCATTTACAGTATTTCTTCTGTTTCATGTATTGGTTGGAAAATTTTTAATTTGATCATGTGCATTATAGCAATCCTATTGTGAGCTTTGTGAAATATATGTAATGTTTCACCTTACTTGCAAAAAATGACTTAATGTTGCAGTGTACCTGGGATACAAGATTATAATTTGAATTTATTGCCTTTAACAAAATCTATTTCTTTTTTAGTCACCAGAGTTCATATTCATGCTGAGCAGCAAAGCTGGTGGGTGTGGCTTAAATTTGATTGGAGCCAATCGTCTGGTGATGTTTGATCCTGACTGGAATCCAGCCAATGATGAACAAGCAATGGCCAGGTGTTGGAGAGATGGACAGAAGAAGCAGTGCTACATATATAGACTCATTGCTGTAAATAATACAGATCTCTTAAAGTTCATGCCAAGAGTGCTTAAATATGATATGCATGTTAAGTGACAGATAGTGTTCAAATTGCATGCACATTTTCTTTCAAGAGTGCTTAAATATGATATGCATGTTAAGTGAGAGACAGTGTTCAAATTACATAATGAAAAGATAAAGCATTATTTCACATGTTAATTGGTCTTCCACATATTCAAGATTAATTTTTTTTATGTTCAAATTCTTTTTTATCAATCCTCATTACTTGTGTCCTTCTTCTCTGGAACAGCAAGATAATTTCCCAAGGTTTTTTTCTCTTCCTTGATTTCATTTTAACATATTACATATGTAAACATTTTAATGAAAATGTGTTTAAAACTGTAAAGAGATCAGTAAGGTCCATAATACTGTAGATCACTAAATTTTCTCGACACCTTATTTTTGTGAGATAGTCATTGACTCTTCATTAGTAAGACATAATTTTCACAAATTGTTGTTATTCCTCGATATATAATCGTAAGGAATACTTTTATACAAGAGAATGAAATTTTCAAGAGTTAATTGTTTCATGAAAATAAAGTTCCTGCAAATAAAAATTGATTCACAGTATTAACAAAATCTTCACATTCTTGTAGACTGGCACGATAGAGGAGAAGATTTTCCAACGACAGACCCACAAGAAGGCCCTGAGCAGCTGTGTAGTGGACAAAGAGGAAGATGTGGAGAGACACTTCAGTCGGGAGCAGCTCCGAGACTTGTTCCGGCTCAACGAAGACACCATCAGCGATACTCATGAAAAGTAAGAGATCTGTCAGATGTTTGGGTCATGAGCTGATTTATGCAATCCTCAAAAAGTTTGAAATAATGGAGAAATTTTATAAAAAATATACAATAGGTGAAATTTTGGATAAAAAAATCAATTGTGGTTGATCAAAGTATCAAGAATATTATAGATATATCGAATTTATTTGGAAGTCCAAACCACTTAACCACTTTATTCTTTAAGTATTTTACCCTCATTATCTTAAAATCTTGAGTTTGTTCTTGTTCCTGTTCAAGTTCATAGGTAGTGAGATTTGAGTGTATATACAATGTATATTTATGGTTACAATGTGTATTTTTAACATCCCAATTGAGTTATCGAAGAGTTATCTTTTATCTGTATTTACATGGTATTTTTGCTTTTTTAAGGTTTAAGTGCAAAAGATGTGTGAATAACATTCAAGTTCGAGGCCCCCCAGAGGGTAGTGATACAAATTCAGACTTGTCTCAGTGGCAGCACTCAGCCGATAAAAAAGGACTAGTGGACGTGGTCCTCAAAGGGGCCTGGGACGAAACCATCTCCTTCACATTTCACCAAAAATCTCACGAGGAGCAACGGAAGACAGTGTGACCAGTCCTTTGTTTTATATGTGTGTTTTATACAGATTATCAGAGAAACAAGAGAAAACGGAAAAAAAGAAGAAATTTCAGAGAGTGGGAATGAAGTCTGTGTTTTATATCACTAGTCAAAGCTAGAGGAAATGTTAATTTTATATTGCTTGAAAAAAAAGTTTTTGTTGAGATAAATGATTATTGAACATAGTCTACCAGGTAAATAGAAAGTTCAGATTCAAAATCATCAAGAGAAATGGTGAATGAGAAATATGCAATAAGTGTGATAAGAAAGTGGGAAATGAATTTTTGGTAAATGTACTGTAGGAAGTATGTATCCAATAAATTATCAAGATCATTTTCATGTTTTATTCATCAAGTCATCATGAATTGCTTGCGTAATGGTCTGAAGGAAGCTCTAAACACAACTAGCTGAAGAATGCTATTTCCATGGTATTGTACAGGGGGATAATTTTACTGTTGTAATATTATGTTGTTCCCAAAAAAATTGCCCTACTGCTTTTTTCCAAACAATGTAAATTTTGTAAAAAAGTTTTCGTTGAAGACCAGTTCCATCACCCCACATACCTGTTTTGCACAATTTTTTATTGCAAAATTGTCATATCCTCCTGTTTTTCTAACGTTGTCTCCCTTTCTGTGTGCAAGAGTGTAATCAATTTTAAACTAAGAAAGTCTCTTCTCAATTACGTGTCTTCACGTCCTACTAGAAAAAGACTGATTGTAAGCAAACAAGTAATACTTTTATGATAATTGTTATACCTTTAGAAAATTTGTTCCTATAAAAATATTTGCGAAAAAAGTCTAACATTTCTGCTGAGCGGGCATAAACAAATCGATGTTTGACCGCTGAGTGAGATGTTGAACCGGTCGATGATTGATTGATTGTGTATTGTTTAATGTCCCTCTCTAGAATTTTTTACTCATATGGAGACGCCAACATTTGCCGGTGGAGAGCTGCAAATTTTGTCCTACACTCGGCACTGAGGGCCATTGAGCAGGGAGGGATCTTTTTCGTGCCAGCACCTACTGCGACACGGGACCTCGGTTTATACGGTCTCATCCGAAGGACCGGTCTCCACGTCCCACAGTGGAATTCGAACCCGCGACATAAGGATTGACTCTTTACTTCGCAAATCTAGAACAGACGCTCTCGCGGGCGACTTAAGAGAAGCGGTCGATGAGATGTTGGAACAGTGACGGAGCTGGTTTACATCAGGGAAGATAGTACAATACGCATGTGTGTCAAAAAATATTAAAGTAATAAAATAGAAGGTACTAGTATAACAAAACACTTATCAAGTGTCTTGTCGGGCAAAATGCGTTTTTTTTAACCCACGAACAAAATTTGGCTGACAGTCTCAGGCTAACAGTTTGGTTCTGGAGTCCGACAAAACGCATGTTGCCCTCGAACTCAGTCAATAAGTGTATAATATTGTGACTTCAAATTTTAGAACTATCATCAACTGCCCACATCGATATGCATGAGCATGTTCTACGCACAGATCAATTTTGAAATAGGCAGTTATTGATAAATATTTCCATTTCTAATTTTTTTTCTCTGTGATAACTCTTTGAAAGTTAGGGGTAGTTTATTTCTTGATAATTCTGCCGGAATGTAAATTAGGCAGGTCGATAGGTCGGGAGCTAAGGAGGCCTAATACGCATGCAATTCTCGTGCGCATCTGTCTCTGTGTCTGACGCTAAGGAGGCCGAATATGCATGTAAATCTCTTGCGGCTGCCTAGGTGTTTGACGTCGGTTGTTCGAGGACTATTGAAATTGGCATGGAAGTCATCAAGTGATTTAAATCTATTTATCTACATTTTTAAAGTCTAAATCTACAATTTTATTTCACAATGAAATGGAAATGTAAGGAATCACTGTCTAGTTAGGAGGGTATGTCAGGGACATCAGCAATAGTGGGAAACATGGGATAATTTAAGCATAACGGCCTTCGCCCGTTATGCAAATTATCCCATGTTTCCCACTATTGTTGATGCCCTGACATACCCTCCTAACTAGACAGTGATTCCTTAAATAAGTTGATAATATATACATGTACAGATAACAAGTTATCAACAATCTCATCGAAAGTTAGCATTTGGAATATTCAATTACCTTCTTCAAAAATTCACTCTATCGTTATGTCGATTGTTGAAGTTCATACAAATGGTTAGGCTATTATTTTCAAACTGAAATGTCTACTGACTTTTCTTCGATTATGCGTTCATGACAAAGGGCAGACAGCAGATGTGACCTATTCACAGGGAATGCTTACTTCATGGCAGCCGATCCCATCCCTGTCTTTAAAACAGCCACGTTTGTTTTGCTTGCAATATTGTTTGAATGTACTGTACTTTTAAGCATGATAATTTCGTTTTCTTCTCAATGCATGAAGCACAGTTCGACGACCATCATCATATTCAGAGTACTCAGTTTGAGGGAGAGTAGTATTGATAGATAAAAATGAAAGTTCTTATCACAAAGAATCCATATTGGAAGTATGAGAGTCTTAGTTACTATCTACCGTTCAAAAGTTATGGCCAAAGTAAAAGTTTGGAATTTTTGTGTAACATTGTGTCAAACTAAAAGGTCAAGGTCAAAAGATTAAATTTGGTGGTACCTAAATATGAAAGTCATAGCTCCACTAAATCAAAAGTTATGGGCAAGGTTAATTTTTTTTTGGGGGGGGGGGGAAGACGACTGACGGACACGACAAAGACTAGATACACTGTACCCCCGAATCTTCGATTGCATATACGGGGGCATAAAAATAACCTTGTTTACAACTTGTATTATTTTGGCCAGGCAATTCTTGAGGAGTAAATTTCCCAAGATTTCCACTGTATCTTTCAATTTAAACGCACTCATGTGCTCTTCTGTGTGAAATAATCTTCATTTAGGGCTGAATGTGACAGTGGCACCAGCTATAAAAGTGATGGAAACCAATTCTCTCTCAAAATGACCAAGGGTAAAAATTAGTTCGTCCAGGGACAAGAAAGTTTATTAAGGACAGACGAGACGTTCCTCAATACTAGATAATTTTTCTTAAGACTTTGTCATTGAACAAATACTACTTTAACATGTTTACTCACAAAAAATTGAGGTACCTTATCAGGCATTTGTGCGAGATACCAGATGATGTTATTTCTTAATTACATAATCCTTCAGGGGAAAAAAAGTTTGCCAAAATCAAATTTTAAGTGTTTCAACTTTTCAAAAACAACTAGAAACAGGTTTAGAAATCAGAAAGTGACTAATTTTTTTTTAATGATTATTATTATTTTTCTTACATTATGAAGATATACAAAACAGAAATTTGGGGAACGTATCGTCTGACCTTAAATACGAAGTGTGAAGAAATATTTAAAGAACAATCCCATGCATGCCAAAAATTATTTAAATACTAGGGCAAACGTGTTTGAAATAATTCAATTTTTTAATAAAAATATTGAGGGTGGTGTAATCAACATGCATGCTAGCAATTAATTTTTGTGAAAAAAAATACAGCTATCACCCATTTGATCATCTTCGCTAGCCAAGGGTTTCCGATCCGAAATCTACTAGATTTCGGATAGGAAACCCTTGGCTAGCGAAGATGCCATTTGATGTGTATGTATTCCAAGAAAGATAATTATGCAGTAATCTTTCATCAAATTTTGTATTTTATTTTTCTCCCACAGAGAAATGCATGCAACAAAAGATACTCTGTAAATAATAAATAACAAAGGATTTATTGTTATGTTTGTTCATGAATTGAGTATTCTGTTTGGTTCTACATATATAAAAAATACATATCATAATTTTGAACAACAAAGAAAACCTAATAATACTGAAAGGGTTTGGTCCATACAGCACTTTATAAAACAAATTCTCTCTCTCTCTCTCTCTCTCTCATGAGTTTTGTCTTACAACATCTTTGAGACATAGATATCCTAAATAAAACCATGGATTTCCTGATCCTTTTGGAATGTACAACTGAAGTTCTATATTAGGCTTCAAAGCTTCCCTGCCTTTTTTACTGTACATAGAATACAACACTTGCTGGTCAGAATTCATTAATTTTTGGTCAAGAAAGTACAACACTGCTTTATGGTATAATTTTTCAAAGTCTAGAATTAGTTTTTCACTTCCGACAAACATACCGCCCCCGACCCAAACAATATTGTGTCTAAATATACTAAAAGGGTCTATATTCATTGAAAGGTCATTGACCCGGTTTACAGCTAATTTCTTGGGGTCAAAACCCGGTGGAATGTTCAATTCAAAAAACACTTTTCTATTTGAAATGTCTCTAAAATATCCTATATCCAGCCAAACGTAATAAGGAGCACGGAATATTTGTTTTTGCACTGCTTTGGCAACTACGGCATATTTGGCATGTTGGGCCGCGGCATATCCTGGATTCACTGTATTGGGATAGTGTTTCGGATAACCAGGTTGGCTATAGACAGCTTTTATTTGGTCTACAAGTTGAAAAGGCCATATCTCTGTACGATTTACTAAATATATTGCTGTAGTATTCATACGATCAGCTCTTAATTTTTCCATTAACTCTTTGAATTCTTTGGAGTCCGTGTACACCACCAGTGGATTGACAAGATATTTAAAGGAGGTGGCCCAAGAAAAGTAGGTGTTCGTCGAGAAATGCAGTTTGCCCGTTGAACCTTTTTGAAATGTCCCAAGATTCCAATACGCTGTGACAACTGTGAGATTTGACGTGTATTCTATCGGCTTTACTTTCTCTGTCACATAATTTTGTGAAAAATTCATAACCGATTTGAGATTCATTGAGGAAACTATTCTTTTCAAAACGTTGGACTCGTTCCATGCCTAAATAGAATAAAAATGATGTTAGTTAATACTTAATATTAAAATCATGCATTAATGAAACTGTAGCTGCATTCTACAACCAGTATAAAGAGAAACCCTTTATCTTTAACAAATTTCACAATTTAATACTACCCACCCCCATTCCCTCCCTTCGTTCCTTTGGCACCAAGGCGATAATTTTTTCGAAATTGAATCGGTCTACGATGTACAAAAGAGGCAAGTTAATTGGTTACTTTAAAACGATTTTTCCGTAAATCTTTATTTCAAACGCACTCTTTCCCATGAATTAAATGCATTAGACTGAACATCTCAGGACTGTGGCCTCATAATCAAGACGTAGGCAAAAAATTATCCTCTATATAGGGTATTTGCATCAATTTTACTTTAAAATCGGCAAATTACAGGTATGTAATGATGTTTTGTGCTTTGAATTTGCATAATGAGAGCCTTTACTGTTGTTTAGATGACCATTTTTAAGGAAATGTATGTATACTAAGTGTCATTTTGTAAAACATTGAATCCCTCAAAGTATCCACTTTCAAGGTTGTTTTTTACCTATATGTTTACACAATGTCGCAGCTATTGCAGGTAATATTAAATAACCCGCGTATTTTTTTTGCAACAGCTGTGCACAACATTCATTCCGGTACTAACAACCAAAGAAAGACATTTTATTGTTTAAATAATATATTTAAATCTACATATCATTTTCTTTATTTTTTATGAAGACCATTGCCGTTAATCTGCCCATAAACGACACTGTAAAAGAAAGCCATCTGCATAGATTTCTTAACCCATGGCTGTTCCATCAGTTAAGCATACAATAAATTGTACTTCTATAATACAATATTTAGCATGTTTAATGTTTGTTTTTTTTTTACCATAGAGATGAAAATATAAATAATATGTCTTTGTTTGTTAATACGGAAATTAACGTCGCAGCTATTGCAGAAAAATTACATAACCCGCGAAACAGCTGCGACAGCAAAAGCGCACTAACAGCCAAAGAAAGCATTTTACTCTTTAGATTACATGTGTAAAACTTATAGATCTAATGCAAATCTTACTGTGTGTGTCGGCCCTTCAAAATACAACATATAAATGTATATATGTTGCTTACAAATCACTTTGAACAATCTTGTTTCCTTAGATCACCTGCATTCTTGAAAAATTGCTTCAATGGGCAACATACCATTATCTTTCTTTGGTACTTTTAATGTAAATCAACGAATGGAATTCAAATGGCAATGTTTTAAAGATATATATGGCATATTTATTGATAAGTTCGGATAACTAAAATTAAAAAGATCTTTCTTTTTATTTATTACTTTAAAGAAAAATAGGACTTTTCCTAGTCAGTCACGTTTCACAGATATTAAAATTTTAAAAAGATAATAATCGATTTATTTACTGTCTCCACATTTAGATAACAGACAGATTAAAATTCAATTCAATTATAGAAACGTGAGGTTAATCAAGTTAAAAATTGGTAAAAAAAAAAATATATTTAATATGTATCTAATCTCAATCTCGTATAAGTATTTTTTTTAGCTTAAGAAATACGTATGACATGTCAAACATTGCAATATTCGATCTTTTTCATTTGGTATATAACTTTCATTTGTATTCTATAATTTTCCACTTAGATTGTAGAATTTTTCATATACAAAAATTATTGTATAGATTTTAGTTTTAATTTATATTTTATGATTTTCCATTTGTATTGTTTAATATTTCTGCTGGTCGGAGATTTACGGAGACAGCCGAGCGCCTGGTTGACTATATGTTGAGTCGCAAACCTCATTTGCATGGTAAAATGTTTGCAACAAGCTTGCTGCAGAAGACTTGCTGCAAACACCAAGGCTTTGTATAGACTGCCTCATCAAGAAACAATCGCAACTTCTCGGGCCTTTCCGGCTAGCGGTCCGACCTCTGACGGAAAGATCCGAGATGATGCGATTGCATCAAGAAACTGCTTAGAGTAATCGTATCAACTCGCACTTTTCCGCAGCGAGCGATGGAAAAAGAATGACGTGATCCGATTATTGCGCGATATTTTCAAAAGAGATAAAGGAGCTGGGTATTCGATGGATTCAAATTAACAAATCAGACATCCTTTTCAATAAAAAGTGACAATTTTAAAGCGTGTTCAAAACTAAATAAAGTAAAAAAAAGAAGTTTCTACAATGTCTTTAGCTGAAGCATAATAAGGTGAGGACTGACCTTTAAAAAGTCAAATCTGACCAAGATTGAAACTGCTCTAGATGTGGTATAAATAAGAGTATTAATCATGTTTATTACCTCTCTCACCCAATAATTGTGAATTCTATACTGCCATTCTAAGTTATTACCTGTGCTGTAACTTAAGTCATATATATCAAATTGGTATCTATGTAAATGCATGTTCATGGGCGTGATTCTGAAAGTTGGTTTGATGTCCCCACAAAATTAATTAAAATCGTGCTCTGCTTTGATACTATACCGTGAACATTTATGCATTAAATACAGGGGGCGGGGTGTGGTGAACATATTGGACCCAAAATAAAAACAACTAAACTGTTTTTTTCATCTAGCAAAGATATTGATGCAATGTTTGTTCTAAACAAACATTTCCAAACACCAAAATCAAAATAGCACTAGCTAGTTAATATGATACAAATAAACACAGATACTTTTTATCTATTTTTTTGGGGGGGGGGGAGGGGGGGGGCGTGTTGAGTGTTAAAAAAAAAAATAAAATGTCGAAACAAGTTTCCAAAACTTTTTACTAGTATTATATACTCAATCTTCAATTAATTGTTTTCTCAATTGTCTAAACTCTAAAGATTTATTCTGGCACATATAATGTTACTTGTGAACTACAAATATGCTACAAATGTCAATCCATCAGTATAAGAAGTCTGACATTTGCCGACTTTATTGATTCAAGGCAAAAACAAGAAATTCAGCAGACGACACCCATTAATTATGTTGTGTGTTGATGAAAACAACAGGGGTGAAGGTTGTGTGGATGTGGTGTATGTACATGTACATACTAACTACACTATTTTCTTGTTTTAAAAAAATTAAATTGGCTACGTAGTAAAAGTATTGAAGAATAAATAAACTATTGTATAAATATAGAGTTCTATTGGGACTAATCTAAAAATATACCAGGAATAATTTTCATCAGGAAATTATTTTATTTAAAAAAAAAAAAGAAGAAGAAATTCAAACTCGATCATTACTGTATAAACTCAAGGGATAAGAGGTTCAGCTCTCGTTTTCTCAATTGAAATAAACTATAATCCCATGCACTCTCTCTCTCTCTCTCTCTCTCTCAATTTAATTTTTTACCTAATGATATAAAAACTGTATCATAACTACCTTTAAAATTTATTTAAGAAAATTTTTTAAAAAATTGCATGACATTACTAATAATAATTTTCATCGGTTAGCATGGTCATTTATTAAAAAGGAGTAGAATACATTATTCACGATAAGGTCATTCTGGAACAGTAATATTTTTCTCAACTTGTTTGGGGAAAAAAATCTTATTGAACATCTTCCTTCTAGACAACTAATGTAGATATATTTTATATATTATAGAAAATCTTGATCCAATGCAGGAAATGATGAATCTGAAAATTTTCTATTGTTTATTTAGCCCCAATCCTCCATCTTTTGTCTTTGTTCACGCGCGATGACACACTTAATTAATTAGTGCAATATGAAAGAAAAACGTTCAAGAACCCGTCAAAATTAATAAAATATATTATAATAGCATGTCATAAGTATGCAAAATTGTTATATTTTAGTTTGGACCAGGACCCTATTCCAAAATTCAATTCATTACAAAATATCTAGATCTGGTCGTGTAAATTTCTGCACGGTCTGCCATGTTGAAAAGAATGCGTCACATAAACCCTGACCTAAAGGTACATATATAAAATTTATCATAAATGACAGATATAACTTACTTGATACCGATAAATTGTAAATATTCCAGATGCTAGACATAGCAAGATGAAAACCAGAATGTCTTTTCTTTCCATATTTCAGGAATTCTTTTTTTCTATAGAGAGTTCTACACTCGTCATCACGATCACGACAAAACTTTTTTTTAGCCTGGAGGCACCTGCTACATTTTTCACTGGGTCAAATATTTACATCCTTTAGTATTTTAATTTTGGTTTCAAAAATAAAATATCAATTTTGATTTAGATATCCTGATTTAACAAATATTATAAAATTAGATAATAAAAAATACAAAAAATATTTTTTTTCTATAATATCTACATACAAGAAACAAAATTTGAATTTAAAAAAAAACTGTGAAGAAAATAATGCATTCCATACTTCCGGAATATGTCATTAATTGTGCATGTTGTGCAAATATAATATTTTAAGAGGCAAATTACACATGTATGTTGATGCCCAGGGGTCAAACGCATAAACACAATCAAACTTCCGCTTGGAGTGCTAAAACTGGCAAAAGGCTCTAACTCTATACCTGATAACTTGGGGAGTCCATCACCTTCGCGAGTCTTGAAAAATCTGTGAATGCAGAAAAAGGACCAGGGGCAAGACCTCACTTATCAATGCTTACATGGTAAAAACATATAATTAGTATTAAAATGTTCCCTCCCCAACCCGTGATACATTATCATTTATAAGGTCGCCCTTAAAAAAAAATAATCCTCGTGCTTTTCTTAATTATTTATATTGATCATATACAAATTTAAATTGTAAAATTCAATTTAGTGTATGGAAAAAATACTATAGTGCCTATCGCTAAAAGTGATCTTTTAGGGCTATACAAGGAAGAATACATGTACCTATCGCTAAAAATTGATCTTTTACGGTATAAGGTTGGAATGACAATCTTGCAATCAATTCTGATTCTGTATAACGAGGAAGGAAATCTGAATCTGCTAGCAAAATTAAACTGACAAATTTGGAATGCAATGAAATTCGTCTACATGTATTTTCATTTCCGAAGCTTAACTTCAGAGCATTCAAATATAGTGTTCCAAAATAATTTTTTCATCTCAGATTTACAAATGTTCAGTGTATATTTGCATCTGATCCTTTTAACTCAGAGTGTCATAATAAAGAAAAACTTTTTAAAAAACTTTTACTTTTCAGTCTTCTGTCTTCATTTGTTCATATTTATTTTACGTAGAAAATATATAAAAGGGGAATTTATTGTTATGTCGTAAATTTAGCATTTACTGTCACCTAGAAAATAAAGTTAAAATTGAGAAAATTGATAATTTATAAACTTTAGTTATTTTGTATGCTGCAAAAAGCATCAAAATTTGCATTGAATGTTCATTTACTATTCCTCTCCAATACATATGTAATTTGAAACCTTTAACCGAAAGAGACTTGTTTACTTTTCTTTTAAAATTACTCAAACTCAAGTAACTTAAAGGTAAGTACAAACCTTTTTAAAGAAATAAAACAGACAGATATGTATAAAAATTGTAAAATATAGTATACAACTCTAAGTATTACGAATCGTAACCATGGTAACCAATCTGGAAAAAATATGCTATCATATTGGATATTGCATTTCGATCGATAGTATCCCTTTTTTGGTGGACAAATACTTAAATAATTAATGAATTCTATATTTTATTTCCCGTTAAGTATTATGTTGAAAAACAGAGTTACAAATTGTATTTTGACATTTTCAGGGACATCTCAAACAAGCATTTAAATCCATTAACATCATACATGTACCATTCCAAAAGCAATGCTTGTTTATTTATACATGAACTCTTTTGCATGAGAGGTTAAATTCTGTGAAGTGGGAAGGGGTTCCTAGGAATTTTTGTTATTCAAATTCCTGTCCCTCCTTTTTTAGAGTAAAGATAAATTAATTTGCCTGTTTAAATTTCAATTATTTTTTTTCAATATCACTTAATTACTTTTTCCTTGCCTTGCTTCTGAACCCCCAACCCCCACCCAACCTTCCTTCCGTCTCTGTGTAATGATCGGACACGATTTATATCTGAAAATATAACCCGATAGTCAGGAACGAAACTGTATCATCAAAGAACTTAAGTTCCGTAACATGATAAAGCTTATAACTTGTATAATTAGAATACAAGTATATTGTTTCACTGACGATTTTTATCAATACAACACATATTCATACTACAATGTGTTATTTTCTTTCTCTGTTTAGCACATTTTGAGTTTTCTGATCAAGTTTTTGCACTACTTGGGATTGAATCACAGAGGAAAGTACAATGTTTTCCCCCTTTGAATTGAATCACAATTGAATAGGAACCAGAAGTCTCTGGTGAGACTGAAGCTCTACTGGTTTGAACTTTTACAAAAGAAGATAAAAGTATGACTTGGAATAGAAACTTTGAAACAGCAATAAAAAGAATAGTGATCATTGGTTTACTTTCTTTTTGCGGCAAGATTTATTGTGGCCTTTTGCAAAAAAAAAAAAATTCAAAAAAATCTCATTTTGATACCAATGGCAGTTCCGTTCATAAAACAGAATATTTACCTCGGTATATATAACGATCGTGCATGCCAAGTTACTATAGTATATTAAAATCAGACCTAAACTTTGAGAAAAGTAGCATTTCGAAAGTATTTTACAGAAATGTCTATTCTACGTTGTAGCAGCCATGGCAAAAACCGATTATGAGAGTCTTAGTTACTATCTACCGTTCAAAAGTTATGGCCAAAGTAAAAGTTTGGAATTTTTGTGTAACATTGTGTCAAACTAAAAGGTCAAGGTCAAAAGATTAAATTTGGTGGTACCTAATTTTTTTTTTTTTTTTGGGGGGGGGGGGGGGAGAGACGACTGACGGACACGACAAAGACTAGATACACTGTACCCCCGAATCTTCGATTGCATATACGGGGGCATAAAAATAACCTTGTTTACAACTTGTATTATTTTGGCCAGGCAATTCTTGAGGAGTAAATTTCCCAAGATTTCCACTGTATCTTTCAATTTAAACGCACTCATGTGCTCTTCTGTGTGAAATAATCTTCATTTAGGGCTGAATGTGACAGCGGCACCAGCTATAAAAGTGATGGAAACCAATTCTCTCTCAAAATGACCAAGGGTAAAAATTAGTTCGTCCAGGGACAAGAAAGTTTATTAAGGACAGACGAGACGTTCCTCAATACTAGATAATTTTTCTTAAGACTTTGTCATTGAACAAATACTACTTTAACATGTTTACTCACAAAAAATTGAGGTACCTTATCAGGCATTTGTGCGAGATACCAGATGATGTTATTTCTTAATTATATAATCCTTCAGGGGAAAAAAAGTTTGCCAAAATCAAATTTTAAGTGTTTCAACTTTTCAAAAACAACTAGAAACAGGTTTAGAAATCAGAAAGTGACTAATTTTTTTAATGATTATTATTATTTTTCTTACATTATGAAGATATACAAAACAGAAATTTGGGGAACGTATCGTCTGACCTTAAATACGAAGTGTGAAGAAATATTTAAAGAACAATCCCATGCATGCCAAAAATTATTTAAATACTAGGGCAAACGTGTTTGAAATAATTCAATTTTTTAATAAAAATATTGAGGGTGGTGTAATCAACATGCATGCTAGCAATTAATTTTTGTGAAAAAAAAATACAGCTATCACCCATTTGATCATCTTCGCTAGCCAAGGGTTTCCGATCCGAAATCTACTAGAGTTCGGATAGGAAACCCTTGGCTAGCGAAGATGCCATTTGATGTGTATGTATTCCAAGAAAGATAATTATGCAGTAATCTTTCATCAAATTTTGTATTTTATTTTTCTCCCACAGAGAAATGCATGCAACAAAAGATACTCTGTAAAAAATAAATAACAAAGGATTTATTGTTATGTTTGTTCATGAATTGAGCATTCTGTTTGGTTCTACATATATAAAAAATACATATCATAATTTTGAACAACAAAGAAAACCTAATAATACTGAAAGGGTTTTGGTCCATACAGCACTTTATAAAACAAATTCTCTCTCTCTCTCTCTCTCTCTCATGAGTTTTGTCTTACAACATCTTTGAGACATAGATATCCTAAATAAAACCATGGATTTCCTGATCCTTTTGGAATGTACAACTGAAGTTCTATATTAGGCTTCAAAGCTTCCCTGCCTTTTTTACTGTACATAGAATACAACACTTGCTGGTCAGAATTCATTAATTTTTGGTCAAGAAAGTACAACACTGCTTTATGGTATAATTTTTCAAAGTCTAGAATTAGTTTTTCACTTCCGACAAACATACCGCCCCCGACCCAAACAATATTGTGTCTAAATATACTAAAAGGGTCTATATTCATTGAAAGGTCATTGACCCGGTTTACAGCTAATTTCTTGGGGTCAAAACCCGGTGGAATGTTCAATTCAAAAAACACTTTTCTATTTGAAATGTCTCTAAAATATCCTATATCCAGCCAAACGTAATAAGGAGCACGGAATATTTGTTTTTGCACTGCTTTGGCAACTACGGCATATTTGGCATGTTGGGCCGCGGCATATCCTGGATTCACTGTATTGGGATAGTGTTTCGGATAACCAGGTTGGCTATAGACAGCTTTTATTTGGTCTACAAGTTGAAAAGGCCATATCTCTGTACGATTTACTAAATATATTGCTGTAGTATTCATACGATCAGCTCTTAATTTTTCCATTAACTCTTTGAATTCTTTGGAGTCCGTGTACACCACCAGTGGATTGACAAGATATTTAAAGGAGGTGGCCCAAGAAAAGTAGGTGTTCGTCGAGAAATGCAGTTTGCCCGTTGAACCTTTTTGAAATGTCCCAAGATTCCAATACGCTGTGACAACTGTGAGATTTGACGTGTATTCTATCGGCTTTACTTTCTCTGTCACATAATTTTGTGAAAAATTCATAACCGATTTGAGATTCATTGAGGAAACTATTCTTTTCAAAACGTTGGACTCGTTCCATGCCTAAATAGAATAAAAATGATGTTAGTTAATACTTAATATTAAAATCATGCATTAATGAAACTGTAGCTGCAATCTACAACCAGTATAAAGAGAAACCCTTTATCTTTAACAAATTTCACAATTTAATACTACCCACCCCCATTCCCTCCCTTCGTTCCTTTGGCACCAAGGCGATAATTTTTTCGAAATTGAATCGGTCTACGATGTACAAAAGAGGCAAGTTAATTGGTTACTTTAAAACGATTTTTCCGTAAATCTTTATTTCAAACGCACTCTTTCCCATGAATTAAATGCATTAGACTGAACATCTCAGGACTGTGGCCTCATAATCAAGACGTAGGCAAAAAATTATCCTCTATATAGGGTATTTGCATCAATTTTACTTTAAAATCGGCAAATTACAGGTATGTAATGATGTTTTGTGCTTTGAATTTGCATAATGAGAGCCTTTACTGTTGTTTAGATGACCATTTTTAAGGAAATGTATGTATACTAAGTGTCATTTTGTAAAACATTGAATCCCTCAAAGTATCCACTTTCAAGGTTGTTTTTACCTATATGTTTACACAATGTCGCAGCTATTGCAGGTAATATTACATAACCCGCGTATTTTTTTTTGCAACAGCTGTGCACAACATTCATTCCGGTACTAACAACCAAAGAAAGACATTTTATTGTTTAAATAATATATTTAAATCTACATATCATTTTCTTTATTTTTTATGAAGACCATTGCCGTTAATCTGCCCATAAACGACACTGTAAAAGAAAGCCATCTGCATAGATTTCTTAACCCATGGCTGTTCCATCAGTTAAGCATACAATAAATTGTACTTCTATAATACAATATTTAGCATGTTTATTTTTTGGTTTTTTTTTACCATAGAGATGAAAATATAAATAATATGTCTTTGTTTGTTAATACGGAAATTAACGTCGCAGCTATTGCAGAAAAATTACATAACCCGCGAAACAGCTGCGACAGCAAAAGCGCACTAACAGTCAAAGAAAGCATTTTACTGTTTAGATTACATGTGTAAAACTTATAGATCTAATGCAAATCTTACTGTGTGTGTCGGCCCTTCAAAATACAACATATAAATGTATATATGTTGCTTACAAATCACTTTGAACAATCTTGTTTCCTTAGATCACCTGCACTCTTGAAAAATTGCTTCAATGGGCAACATACCATTATCTTTCTTTGGTACTTTTAATGTAAATCAACGAATGGAATTCAAATGGCAATGTTTTAAAGATATATATGGCATATTTATTGATAAGTTCGGATAACTAAAATTAAAAAGATCTTTCTTTTTATTTATTACTTTAAAGAAAAATAGGACTTTTCCTAGTCAGTCACGTTTCACAGATATTAAAATTTTAAAAAGATAATAATCGATTTATTTACTGTCTCCACATTTAGATAACAGACAGATTAAAATTCAATTCAATTATAGAAACGTGAGGTTAATCAAGTTAAAAATTGGTAAAAAAAAATATATATATTTAATATGTATCTAATCTCAATCTCGTATAAGTATTTTTTTTAGCTTAAGAAATACGTATGACATGTCAAACATTGCAATATTCGATCTTTTTCATTTGGTATATAACTTTCATTTGTATTCTATAATTTTCCATTTAGTATGGAAGGGAATTACCGCCAAAAGTCTATGTATCTTGCTTTTATTCTTATTCTGCCTACTTCTTTATGCTTTGTTATTATTGTAATTATATGTCACTTTATTGTTTTCATATTCGTCTTAATTACATTTCACTTTGACTTTTATCGTTCTTCATTTTGTCTTTACTTCTATGTTGCTTTATTCTTGTAAATTCATTCTACTTTCTTTTAAACTTAAACAGTTTCTTTAATAAATTATTAGCATTATTTCTACCACGAATATCAATTCAATCACGCTAACAATGAAGCATATTCAATGAAGACGAATGGAAGTTGTCAAACCGTCAAAATTTAGTGCCGCATTATAACGCTAGGTGGCGTGGTGTTCGCTACGAGTGTTGGTAAATCTAGGTAAGCAAACCCTGGTCGGGTTATCTGAGATTCTTCAATACGCCTTAATACTTTATCAATCGAACTTCTGAAGGCCGAATCCGATCTCCCGATCCAATGATGGAAACTCCATATTTATTTTCTCTTGGCACACAGGAAAAGCGGCTTCTTTTTTTCAGACATAACAGGCGCGGATCCAGAAATTTTTCTAGGGGGGGGGGGGGTCCACCCAGTCAAAAAAAATTCCAATCCCAGAAATTTCTTGACAAGCAAAAAAAAAAACCTTACTCGCCAAAACGTGAAAAACCTATTTCGTGGGGGGTGGGTGGGGTGGGGGGGGTGGGGGGGTAGTCTATGACTTCTATTGCCTCAAATCTTTCACTTTTCATACCCATTTTACACATATTCATGTTCACCAGGGGGGGGTCAGCATTTTCCAGGGGGGGTCCAAGGTGACTTTTTTCTTCCTTTAGTATATACATTTTTTAACCGTGTAAATTCCAGAGGAGGTCCTGACCCCCCCCCCCCCCCCTCTAGATCCGCGCATGCATAACTTTATACTATACTAAATATGTTCATTTAAAGGCCGACCCACTTTTTGTAAGAGTAAGGGTCAAATAAGTAAATGTAGTACATGTACGTATAGTTGGAAGAAAATTTAAATTTGATTTTATAGAAGAATTTGAATCTAACTCAAAACCCACCCCGCCCCCGAAATAGGATTTCATTGGCGTCGGAAGCTAATTGAAAGTTGGGGGGGGGGGAGTGAAGAATTTTTTTAGACCTTCAAAAAAAACCTGACAAGCAAAAAAAAAAATGTTCATTTTTCAAACACAAAAAACCTATTTCGTGAAAAGGGGTGGGGATGGGGGTGGGTTGAAGGTTCGAACTCCAGTGCCAAAGTATTTATTTTCCAAATACCACCACTTTCCCCATTTTAAACCTTTACTGCATCGTGCCCATGGAAAGTGAGGGGGGCTAAACCTACGCATGAATGTTCAATGTCTATACTAAGTCTATCTTTGGAAAGAAGTGGGGGCAAAGCCCCGCCCCTCCCCGGTTCCGACGCCTATGTATTTTCAAGTTTGGACAATTTCCTGGGGTTTATTTTGCGCTTGTCAAGTTGTTTTCAACCGAGTAGCTTGAATATTTATTCTCTTGTTGCCCCCCTCCCCACTTTCAAAAACGATGCTACGTCACTGTTCTCTCGCCTGAAAAATATAACTCTACTAAATTTATTAGTTGGATAATTGAATTACAGTATAATTGTTATAAAAAATGTTAAATATTTTGATACTAGTTAACCCATAAAAATTGGGTTGTTTTTCTGCTGATGCGCGTAATTCTAGGGATAGGGCTTTGCAAAGGAGTGAGGAGCGTTATGGGTAGGCAGGCGCGGATCCAGAATTTTTTTCCAGGGGGGGTCCACCCCAGTCCAAAAAAAAATCCAATCCAAGAAATTTCTTGACAAGCATAAAAAAAAACCTAAACTCGCCCAAACGTCAAAATTCAATTTCGTAGGGGGGGTTAACTTTTTTTTCCTTGTTTTAGTAACCTTGTTAATTCCAGGGGGTCCCCCCCCCCCCCCCCCGATCCGCGCATGGAAGGCGAAGTCTGAACCAGATTACATGCACCCAGGCATTCTAGAAACACCCTGGTCTTTTTTTCTGAGTTAATATTTTATATTAAATTAGCACTTTTCAATTAAGAAAGAAATATCTTTAGTATGCATCGTGTTTGTCATCAACCAGGAGAGCTAAAAAAATCTTAAAACTCAAAAATTCTATTTGACGGTGGTGAAACGGGAGGGGAGGTCGTCAACTTTTTTCAGTAATAAATTTTACTCATATGCCCCTAAGTACATGACTTTTAATATATAAATTGACTTTTAGTACTGCAACAGAAAGTGTAAGGGATAAGGGATGAGGGGCAACAAGCCTTTCGCTGAACTTTTCCAGTAGTAAAAAGTTACGTTTAGGAAAATGTTTCGTGGCCACCCTCTCCTCTACCGATGGAACTTACCCCATAGGAGGTCGTCCACCCGGAAGTCAGTCATATATATTGAGACTTTGGTGGTGTGATTGTACATTGTATAATTTCCTTTTCGAGAATTTTTCACTCAAATGGAGAAGCCACCACTTGCCGGTGGAGAGCCGCAAATTTGTCCTATGTACTCGGCACTTATAGCCATTGAGCAGTGAGGGATCTTTTTTCGTGCCAGCACCTTCTGTGACACGGGACCTCGGATAATAAGGTCTAGATCTCATCCGAAGGACCGAGCTCCACATCCTATAGTGGGATTCGAACCCACGACGTATTGGTCGACTCCTTACTACTGTACTTCGTGACTCTATATAGAGCAGACGCCGAAACCACAGTGCCACGCGGGCGACTGCATCCAAGGGGGGGGGGGGGGGGAGAAAGAGTCATTAACCATATGTAAACGTTAATATTAAATATTTTTAAAAAAATGGTTAAAATGATTTAATTATAAAACACTATTAAAATGATATTATTTAAATATTTATTCATGTAGAACCAGGCATCTATATACTTGTATATAGGTCCCTGATAGAACGGATAAATTTTCTTCTAAAACTGTTAGTATATATAAACATTGTTTTACGATTAAAAAAAAACTATTCGGGGAAGGGGTTGCTAGGAATGGGGGCGAATTGCTATATATAGCGAGATTTCCCACGGAAGACTAGCTATATATTGAAACTTCCCCGGGGGAAGTCCCATTGTATAGTCTTTCGAAGGAAGCACCACTATGTAGTCAGTCTTCCAGGGGAAATCTTACCATCTAGTGAGACTTCCGAGGGAATGGCATGTATCGGGTACATACCTGGACTTATAACAAACATCAGTCTTTAAAAAATTAAGTTTGATTAATAAAGTATTAAGGCAGAAAATTGAAAAAAAAAACTCGAATAACCCCGGCCCGGGTTTGCTTACCTAATTTTACCAACACTCTTAGCGA